CAGGCACCATCAGCTTTCTTCACCACATTTGTGTATGCACACGTTTGTATTCAGTGATTGTATCAGTAAGGTGGACACCCACTGATGTGATTTTTTGTTCTTTGATGTCTGATAACTGGTCCTTTCTACACCTTGTGGTCAGACAGTCTGGTGTGCTTCTTCCATGTGGGCTTTGATGCTTAATCTTTTTAAAAGTCATTGTTTTATAAAAGTGGAATTCTGCTCACAGTGGTACTTAGGGCTTGGAGGCCTGGAGCTCGACTGGCCACTATGATCTGGGGCAAGGACTCTACGCAGTGGAGTAACAGGAAGGGACCGGTCGCCCACAACTCAGTCTGAGCATTGATACTCTTCCCTACTCTCTGATAATCCACTTGTCATGGGGTGTACTGAGCAGGAAACAGCGTGTTTATGTCATAGTCAACATTCAAAATACTTTGTAAAGGAAGCATGGATAGATGTGGAGAGAAATATAAGACGTTAATTTAAAAACAAATAGCTCGCTTTGGCCATTTGAAGGAGAATTCAAAACAAAAAAGAATTCAATGAATTGTACAGGAAAATACATTAATCAAAAAATAATAATCTAAAATATAGAATGGTAATGAGATCCAGCATAATCATAGGCTGATGGACTTCAAGCCATTTAATGATAATACTGCTTATGATTGCTTTTTTGCAAGAGATAAGCAGTTGCAGGATGAAGACTGTATTACTACTGTAATACTATTGTATTACTATGTATTACTATTGTAATTACTATTGTAGTACATCAAGTCTAAAATATTTGCTCTTCTGCCAGAGGACCAGGAAATACTTTGTTCTGTCGTGTATGGGGTTGCTATGAGTCAGAATTGACTTAAGAGCACCTAATGTCACTGTTGGTAAACATTAGACTACTAACGACAAGGTCAGTGGTTCAAACTCATCAGCTGCTCTATGGGAGAAGCATGAGCTATCAGCTCCCATAAATATTTATAGCCTCAGAGATGCCCATGGAGACTTCCCTATAAGTTAGAATTGACTCAATGGCAATAGATTTTTGGTTAACAGCAACTCTAACAACCTTTGCCATGTTGGCTGGCCATTTGGTCAAATTTCTTCTTGTTGTTGTTGGGTACTGTTCAGTTGGTTCTGACTTGCAGTGATCTTAACTACAATAGAATGAAATGTTGCCTGCTC